GGCGAATGATTGACTTGATGTTTTCTAGGTGTTCCGTCAAATGCTTCCGTGAGATTCAGAGTGGTGGTTTCTGAATGCGGTAACTGAGCGTTGTATTTAATTTTCATTTTTTTTTTTTGTGTTTGGCGGAATTTAAATTAAATTCATGACTAAATTCAATTAATAGTATGCTACCAAACACTGCCTTAATTGTGTTGTTAATTAGTTGGTAACTTTGCATTCTAAATACCTTCATTTACAGTGAGTGAGTATATGAAATACATGATTCAAATTTCACCCTTTATCTGTTCTATTATTCCTCAAATTTTCAGAGTGATGCGCTGCTCAAAAAAGTCAAATAGGATTTAGGATTCTATCAACGGTGCTTTCATTGATTCATCCCCACAAATTCCCAAATCCATGTACTATTGTGTTAACAAAAACAGTCCAAAACATTAGTTTCTTTCTATTTGAGTTTACAATTCCCAGCTCTCTGCCAACAATTGTCAAGTTCATCAAGATTTATTGATATAGCAGTTCATAACCTCACCATGCCAACTTCTCTTTCAGTGACCTTGGCGATAAAAAACATCTCGCACATTGTTCTTGGTTATAAACTCATTGATCACAAATTTTGCTAAATATTTAACATTGAACTGTCTGTGAACTCACAATCCTCAAATAGGAGCAACTTAGAAGAGAGAAAAAGAACACATAAGAGAAAGAAATAGAGAGAAAAAGTTAGCGTTGCAGCTATGTGCCTAATGCTGCAACTATCCTCCTCCTTCTCGATCAATGATTGCTTGCCACGCCTATATGCCTAGTGCTACAACCACTTAATCTTGGTCTCGAGCCTCTTGACTTTGGCATCCATGAATTGCTTCGTTGCCTCCACGAGGACTTCATCTTACGTAGATCAACAACAATACTGGCTCACAAATCCTTGTTGACTGCGGCGACACGCTTCATAACTTTGTCATCAACCGATGAAGGCCTTTGATTGGAACCAGAGCATTGTGCTTTGTAAACAAATCCCTATTAACTAAGGCTATAGACTCTCTTTTTCTTCCTCCCTGACTTCTCTCTACATACAAACATACACACATACATACATATATACATACATACATCTTCACACACACACACACACACACACACACACACACACACACACACACACACACACACACACACACACACACACACACACACACACACACACACACACACACACACACACACACACACACACACACACACACACACACACACA